CTTGGCGCGGACGCGTGACCAGCCATGTTCACCTGTTCTGCAGTTTCTTCCTGAAGCATCGGGCACATGTCTGCAGAGTGTCCCATACCAGTGCAAATCCCTCACACCCTGGCCTGAGTTGCTCTCTCTACAGCCAGTTGCCTGACAAACGAGGTCAACTCAGTTAGCTGCTGCTGGACAGATGGTGTCTCAATCTCGTTCACCTTGCGTATTGGAACATCCTCTCTCGTACCAAATTGTTGTGAATTTTCTGCCATCCCCTCTATTAGCTCCCGTGCTTCCTGAGGGGTTTTGTTCACCAGTGCCCCTCCACTTGCAGAATCAATTATGCTCCTATCGCTGAATAGGAGCCCCTCATGAAAATACTGAATGAGCAACTGCTCACTTATCTGGTGTTGGGGGCACCTGCGCAACAAGTTCTTATACCGTTCCCAATACTCGTAAAGTGACTCCCCTGGATGCTGCTTGATCCCACAAATTTCTTTCCTTAGACTTGCAGCCCTGGACGCAGGAAAATATTTATCCAAAAATTTTTTCTTCAATTGGCCCCAAGTGGTGATGTTACCTGGCGACAGGTAGTACAGCCAGTCCTTCGCAGAATCTTTCAAGGAGAAGGGGAATGCCCTCATTTTTATCTGCTCCTCTGTGATTCGCGGGGGTTTCATACTATTGCACACGACATCAAACTCCTGCAGATTCTTATACGGCTCTTCACCTGGTAAACCATGAAAAGAGGGTAAAAGCTGAATCAGACCAGATTTTAGTTCAAATGGAATATTGTCATTTAAAGCGGGGAAAGTAATGCATAACGGCTGCTGAGTTAAATCAGGAGCAGCCAACTCCCTTAATGTTTGTGCATTAGCCATTGTTTCTTCCTCCTGGTCAGAATCACTTGAAGTGTCACCAAACGAATCTGTTGGGTCAACTCCTGGCTCAGAGCTTTCAGATGCAGCACTGTAGTGCTCCTCTCTGAGCTGTCTGGTTTCCTTTCTCGTTCTACGCGCGGTCTTCTCTACCTCAGGGTCAAAAACCAAATCACCTGTGCGAGAAGATCGAGGCATACACTAGAAGAAAACCAGAAAATTAGGACAAAAATTGAATTTAAAAAGAAACAAACAATAACGCCAGTCCCCGGCAGCGGCGCCAAAAATTGACAAGTCGTCAGCCTGTGCAATAATAGTAATAAATATAGAACCTAACTACCACTAAAAGCAGTCAATAATTAATCCTAGGTACTGGAGCAGGGACTCTAGGTGTGCAATGGGTTACTTGATTCACCCTGTTCCCGAAGAGTTTGCTTAATCCGATATACCAGAATTAATTAATTGACAAAAATTACTAAATAGTAGACAGTGGCATGTAGGGTCGTCTCCTCAGGGACTGGAGATATTTGTCTCTTTTTAAAGTCTAATTGATAAGGGGGGATTTTACCGGAATGAAACTAAAAATAATTAGACAATTTAATTAAAAATGAATAAATCACTAGCACAAATATAGCAGGAATTTAATCAGGAATAAATAAATTCTAGTCAAGGATGCAACTACTCAGGCACAGTCCATTTATCCGATCATTGATGCAGGAGAGGTTCACTTAATTTATTAATAGGCTAGTTATAGTCTGATGACCAATTTTTCCTTAAATTATTGATAACCAAGGTACGACCGTTGATTACCCCTAATCAGCAAATACTCCTAGGTACGACCATAGGAATTAATTTTCCAATTGCATTAATAACTAGAAAAACCTAACCCTAATCAATAACGCGCTACGAGGGTTATTTAAATTAGACCGCACGTTCCCCTAATGTGTAAACACACCAGTTGCCACTAAAATTAATCAATCAAACAATTACGGATTTAATTGACTAAATTGGCATGAGATTAATAAATCACATTGAATATCGGGCCCTTGACATCCAATTAATAAAATAATCCCATGAAAATTAAATCAGACAACATGCAAATATTAATAGATAAAGGAACACGTGAAAACTAATTAGATCTCACAGATTTTCGGGACTGCGCCGTCGAGTTGACTCTTGACTAGATGGAAGACTTAGCCACGCCGCATAATTAAGTCACCACACGAATTAATAGATTGCAAAGGCATTGCGTTTTCTATTAAGAAGCAAGGAATAAAAGGTGTTTTTCCCGTTGGGGAATATTGTCGAACACCTGGCGTGCGTCAGAGGCCAGTCAGGAGAAAGCAAAACTAAAACTGAACTAAAAGACTCAAACTAGAGATGTCCCTGCTACTCTACGTTATCTCTATTTAAGCAACAAAAGAAAGATGACTAAAGGCTATCTAGGTGGTCCCCACACATGTGGACAAAGCCTTCAAAGTACTTCTTGCTCCAAGTCTCTTTCCGTAGCTTTCTTTTAAGAGTCCAAATGACATATAGCTTGTGGTCCCCCACCAATTCAAGGGCCCAAGAATTGAAGCCCTTAGAAGTCTTCATATTTTCCATCAAATCCCTCCTTTTTTGGTAGTTTCCTGTTTCATTCCTGAAATTAAGTCCAGATACCAAAAATGAGTAGAAATCAGCAATTAACACAATATTTATCAGGGATAGAAGGGAGAATTAATAATAAAATTACTAACAAATTATACCCTATCACTGCTTAAGAAAATTAAAATAACTTTTGCTGCATTGAGCAGAAAAATCCAACAGAAATTCTTACAGCACAAATTATCATAAAAGGAGGTCAAGTGAAAACTTTTGGACTTACTGGCTTATTGCTCATATTTAGAAAATATTAGAAATAGTTTTATAGAATATTGGAAGCTACCGTCCATGATATATCACAATTTCCATTCTTCGTTTAGCATGAGAATAAAGTTTTCTCATTGGCATATCACAAGCAACTCCAATATTGAAGCTAGAAAAGTTTTCTATGAAGCTAGAAAAGTTTTCTTATTGAAGCATTAATTGCATAAATAGCTCTTGGTGAATTGCTACAAGAAGTGAAGATATTGGACTAAAAATACTGCATAGATTCGCTTTATACAAAAAAAAAAAATTCATCCTTTTTTAGTTTAAAAACAACTATGATGTTAATTGTAAATCTAAAACAACAATTGAAATATAAGAGTATCCAATCATCCATACTGAAAATTTAACCCTTCTACAGACCTATACATTGACAATTGCCCTCCTAACTAGAGGTTCTAACTCCACCACTGAGTGTAAGAATGATTTATGAATGGGCACTTTTAACCCCAAAAAACCAAAAAACAAAAAAGAAGAGGAGAAAAGACTAAGGGAAAGTAAGTTTACAAATGTACTCGTAAGTTATGGGTGTATCCAAAGCCACAACACTAGTGGCGATCTACTTCTTGGTTAGTGGAGGCTTGGTGAAATTGCATGTCTAGATATGGAATTTCAAAACATATTTTTTTTCAACACAAAGTAAAAAAAATTCGATCTCACTGACTAAGATGAATTGCCTCAAGAGCCTCTAGCCATTAAGCTTATAACTTTTCAAAGGTGTCGTGCCCCATACGTTTTGTGGTCTACCGTCCAACTTTAATCAAGATCAGAGTAGCCACAATGATGCAATTAACGGGAAAACAAGCTTAACTTTTCAGAATAGGAGTAATAGCGCATACCTTCAATAATCTACTATTCAATAATCTGGAGTTCATGAATTAGCTAAATCTTCTTCTTCTTTTTTTGTCGGCACAATAGATTGTATATTATGCTTATTCCTACTCTTTTATAGGAGGAAGGAGTGGGCTCAAATGGTCCAATAAAAAATTCGGAGGGGACTAAACTACCACCGTATCAAACAAATATCTCTACATCTGCTGGTGAAATTTTCAGAAAACCTTGAAGAAGAATGTAAGTTAAAGGGTTCGATCCTTTGACCTGCACAAGGCTCTAGAGATAGTTGGTTCATGAATCAGCTACCTCTTACAAGTCTGACAAGTAAGTTAATACTTTTCTTACTATGTGTACATTGTTGTTCTCATCCTTTTTTGTGTTATTATTGAATTATTTGTAAAGATGTTCAAATGCACTTCGCTTGCATCCATCCCAGTGGATTTCGATTGTAATCATATATACAACTATAATATTGCTCAATAGAGAGATTACCTTGATTGAACTTACTGATATCAAGTTCAACCTGAAATCGTCGTGCAGTGTTGTGTTGATGATATATGCGTTTCAGAAAATTCCATATCTCCTTTGCAGTATTAAATGAACGTAAGCTGTTCACCATATGAGGTTCAATGGATGCTAAAATCCATGAAATAATTCGTGAATCATTTGATTCCCATTGACTTATTTCTTTCTCAGTTCCAGAAGCAGTAGAAGACCCATCAATGTGACCCCAAAGCTCCTTCCCTTTCAGAAACATTCTGAACTGAAATTCCCATGTTGCATAATTCTTCCCTGTAAGTCTGATACCCAAAGTCTCTGCAGATGGTCTTCCAAAAGAATTCTCAGCAGCCATTCTTAACAAAACTCAAATGCAAATCCGAAATCACAGATTGATAAACTAAGAAATATCAAAACCAGAATGTTGATTATAAATCAACCCAAAAAGCTATAGAAAAAAAAATACTCAAAATATCTTATAGATTCAAAAGGTAGGCTGTGATACCATGACAAAATTTGAGTAAATTGACTGGAATCGGATCCCTTTCCTCTTCCTGGTCCTTTCTATTAAATAAGAATTCCTGTACAATCTATTTTTGGTAAACCCCTATATATACTTGATTGATTGACCTAATATACAGCTAATGTAACTGATTTTCTATTCTAGGTAAGAAATATATACAGATTTTAGCCATAATGTCTGTCATAATCTGCCATAATCTTTCCCATAACCTCTGCCATATAATCTGCCATAATCTATATAGATTTTAGCCATAATGTCTGTCATAATCTGCCATAATCTTTCCCATAACCTCTGCCATATAATCTGCCATAATCTTTCCCATAATATCTGCCACAAACTCTGCCATTGATACCATTGATAATTTCTACTATATATGAAGCATATATCAAGGTGCTACCCTTCAGTTTTATTGATATCAAACTGACATTTCAGTTTGCCATGTTATCTGGTAGTAGGTGGCATATTTAAGAGTTTGAAAGACAAATCCACTAGACAAAGCTTTCACTGAAAGTACTACTTAGTCATCCATCTGCTCTATTTCTAAAGCAACAGAGCTACACAGGGGCACCGTTGACTCGTCAGAAGAACAACTATTACTGCTTCTTTGCATGGATATGGGTGAATCCGGAGGGTAAAACAACGGTTTAGGGGGCAATTTTAGGCCACTAGCATCACCTTTAAGCATTTCTAGAACTTCTTTCATTGAAGGACGATCCTCAGGTGTCATCTGTATGCACCACAATGCAATCAAAATCAATTTTCTTGTAATCGTCTTTTCTTCTTCAGTTGCATGATCTCCGATTTCCATTTCCACCACCTGATCGAATTTGTCATATATCCATGAAGGGAAGTATATTTGACTTGAATGCTCAGCATGAGCATCCACATTTCTCCTCCTCCCAGCCATCTCCATTAGTAACATTCCATAGCTGTAAACGTCTGTCTTATGTGAGACTCTTCCAATCTTTTTATAGAACAACTCCGGGGCCATGTAACCTAATGTTCCTCTTGCAGCAGTAAGAGTTGCAATACTCTTTTGCATCGGGTAAAGTTTTGCAAGTCCAAAGTCCGAAACTTTTGGAACAAAATTCTCATCAAGTAAGACGTTATGCGGTTTAATATCAAAATGCAGAATTTGCATATCACACCCCTGATGCAAGTACTCAATCCCACGAGCAACCCCCTTTGCAATCTCGCAAACTTGCTTCCAACTTAATGGAGAACCATTCTGACAATTTGAGAAAATTAACTTATCCAAAGAGCCATTTGGCATGTAATCATACACTAGAGCATGTTTTGACGCAGTAACACAAAATCCCACTAACCGAACCACGTTCACATGGTGTATTCTTCCAATAGTCGCTACTTCATTGATGAATTCTTGGCCATTGGCTTTTGATTTGTTCAGCATCTTGACAGCAACTGGACCTCCACTGCGCAATTTGCCTTTGTAAACCAAACCATAGCCTCCTTCACCTAGTTTCTCCTCAAAATTTTTTGTCATTGTCTTAATTTCTTTGTATGAGTACCTAATGGGCATGAGGCTGTTGTTTGCTTGTAGGAAATCTTCTATTGTATCATACCTCGATAAATGCCTCCGACGACACCGATAAAGGAGGAAAGCAAACAAGAGGATAATGCCAATGAATTTTATTGCTGCAATAAGCAGAACTGAAATAGAAGAACAAAACAACAAGTTTTAGCAATGATTGACTGACTTCTAGTATATTCCAAATAGACAGAGTTTTCAACTACAAATCAGATGCCTTACACAAAACTGCGACACCACCTTCCCCGTAAGCTGCTCATACAAGAAAACTCAAAAGGATTATAATGGAAATACTGAAATATGAAGAGTCTGACTAATTAAATAATGATTTTTGTGTGTGTGTGTGTATATCAATTAAATAAGTCTACTCACATCCAATTGCGTAGCTGACTCGTCCTTGTGGGAGCCCTGTATCGCCCAAGGACAAAAATCAAAATCAATGTCCGAGAATAAATGCAAAGTATGTATTTTTAAACTTTCTAAATAATTCATGTGTTTGTCTAAATAAACTTTCTAAAAAAGATAACCAATGTACTCTAAAAGATTAAAATTTTAAAATATATGAGAATGTAGTCAGCAATGTTCCTGTATTTTTTGTTTGCTTACATAAGATTTCCAGCAGCAGGAAATCAAGAGTTAAATTCATTAATTCTTTTGATCTAGAAAAAACAAAGGCAAGTGGCAAGCCAAGTCAAAAATTTTCCTAAAAAATTGGGGGGCCAACTCAATAGACCAAAAAAGAAAAAAAGGCACGTCATCAGTTTCTAAATTCATTACTATTATTGTATTTTTTTTTGCATATTTTGGTGTACATTTATATTTTCTTATTATATACATAAATTTTGCTATCGATTGTGGACACCAAATGTTGTAAAAAGTAAAACAATTTATCTCAATATGTACTAATCGCTATAAAAAGTGCAATAACGAGACACAATCATACCAAACAAAAACCTCATTTGAACACACAATCATGCTTGAAGCTAATAAATGAAAGGAACTTTACCCACAGTTAACTCAGTCAAATTTCATATGCCACTCTTCCATCTTTCTTTTTCTCTTTTTGGGAAAATGAGTTTCGAACAAAGACTGAGCAAGAATTGCACTAATATTAAAAGGAGAATTTGAGATAGGTTAAATCACACTTTCACATTACTCTATATCCATACCTCCAATGATTTTGAAATAAACAGTTGTACTCATTAACAATATTTTGGTTGTTCTGTTAAAAAAAAAAAAGTTGAACAGCAGTAGCACCAAAATTAGCCTCCAAACATACCACTGCATATCATAAAATCTTTCAAGATACAATAGCGTATCACTAATTTCCCAAAAAACATAGTTTCAAGCAGTAGTATTGAATATTCTTTAAAGATCATCATAAGCTATCATCAATCACCATATTAATAAATCATCAAATCAGTGTACTTACAAGGAAAACCTTTCCAGCTCCGCGACTCTCTTAACCAACCGAGCTCAAGGCCATTAGACAGAAGATTGTGGATGTCTTGAAACGAAATATCTCCTGCTGTTACATTAGGGAGACACCGCAGGTCTACAGGAGCTGTCTTATAGACAGTGCAGGACTCTTTAATGTCAGATGCCACCACAGTTTCACCAACCACAACATAGCTGTAATAATTGGACGGAGCTTTCATTTTTGAAAAATGATTTGCAGTGATATTACAGGAAGCAGTGTCTACATAAAGAGGATATTTCGATTTCACCGGATTTTTACAGCTGACAAAGACCAACGAACCAGCATCGGGATCAATCTCCATGCCGTAATGTGTACCAGGTTGATAATAGTAGTTGTAGTCGTGTGGACCTAATGGGTAGACTGGCAGAGTAGAACAGTTGTTTTTTTGCACCCCAGGATCAAATATACGAAGTGTCCGTTGCTCATAATCAATACTGTTTAGCTCCACAGAAAAGTTATACTGTTGTATCTCCGGATGGGTACCACCAATTATGGGTAGAACAGTGCGATTATTTTCACAAGAGAATTCAATAGGGCATAGATTTGGATGATCACCTCTAAACTGAAATGGGCACTTTAAATTGATGTCATTACCCACGCAAGTGGATGGGCTATGGTCGCAGCTTGTGTGTTTTGAATTGAAGGTATGATAAACATATCTGTGACCATCCCTCAGACCGATATAATCATAATAATATTCGAAGCCGGAAAAAAAGAAGCCAATCAGGATTAGGAGCAACAAAACTACCAAACACTGAAATTGGAGCATACTTGTTAAACATTGACTGAATGAATTATAACAAAAAAAAAAGGGATGAAGAAGCCAGATAAATATATATATATACACACACATATATATAGGAAACAGAGAAGGAGCTCTTTAGTTGGTAAAGAGAACAGAACCTAAGGTCTCCAATATGTATGCCAAAATTAATTTATGAATTATCTCTTTCGGATAGCCTTATTACAAAACAGTTACTTGAGGCAGAAAGGCCCTAAGAGCCCTCGCCAAATCATTAAGCCGACCCTGATAGTTGAAATTGATCGTCAATTACAACAAAATCACATTTTGTGGGGAAAACACTCTAGTAGACTAAACTTAGATTCTTGCACATGACAATTAAGGGTTATTATCGATTGATTATTTTTCTTGATTATACATTCTAAAATTTGGATCATTAACTTTTTAATATTCTTGCTTCTACATCTAAACTTTAGATTTTTTCAATAGTCAAAAAAATTAAAATTATGAATCTACTGCAAATTAGATTTACCTGATTCTCATTATCCTCACTAATCACTTTAATCAAATTTTGTAAAATTTCTCAGCAAATGAGAACAGGCCTAAATTCTAATTAGCAGATCAACTTAATTTGCCATTCGTGAATCATAAACACAAACTCCAAACTGTTGCGAATGTTTACTTCCAAATGCTAACTCGATAATAACTAGAAACTACTGTTGCACTAGTTACTTTGTGATGTATTATTTTATTCTAGAGGAAACGAAGAAAGTGCAGAAAAAAACTCGACAAAGTAGAATATGAGCTCTCAGGTCAGTCAATGGTTGTTTGTTGCAATTCACACAAGACTAGCTCTCCCTTTTTTTCTCCTTACCCACCATTACAAGTCATTCTCAAAGCAATTTCCGGACAGCTTCAAAACACAACTTATGCAAAACACAGTCAGGCGTAGACTTGACTCGAAACGATTTATTTATACAGAGAAAACTGCTCTTCCCATCAAACCTGAATTATAGAGATACAATCGCTTTACTACATTGTTATTATCACTTTATCTCTTTAATTATAGTGATACAATCGCTTTACTCTCTAACATTATTTTCTAGACATTTTATCCCATCATTAATCTAACCAGTCTGTTAAAAATTTTTTAAATGTATTTACCCCTTTTTTATATATAATTAAAAATAAAAAAAGTTGGAATGACTATTCTTCCTTTTTCCATTCTAAGAGTTCCAAAAACATAAAAATAAAATAGTTTTCTTAAATTTCTTTTTTCACACTTATTCATACTAGGAAAAAAAAGAGATAGGAGAGAAAAAAAACAAAAAAAAATTAGATTTTACCAAGAAAGAAAATATGGAAGAATCTAATATTATCATATTACTTTAACGTCATCGAGATTAGGATTGGAATTGGGTGGTAAACTAAAAAGCAAAGTAATTTTAAAATAATAAAAACATTGAATTCTTTCTTATTTGTATTTTTAAAAAAAAGAATTGATTCTCTCTCTCCCTCTCTTTCTCCCTGCCCCCTATCTTTCTAATTTTTTTTCAATATTAACAAGATTGTCAAGACGAAAGAAATTAATGTTTTGACTTTTTTTCTTGATACTAAAAAAAAGAAGAGGCACTCTAAGTTTTTTATTATTTTTATTATACGAAGAGGAGGCTACTTTCTTCTAAAGTTTTTTAACTTTCAAAATTGGTTTAATAGCAGAATAAATTGCCTGAAAAATAACTTTAGGGGGTAGATTGATATTGAAGCTATAGTTTTATGGGGGGTAAAGTGATAATAATTTTAAGGGTTAAACATGTCTTTTCACTTCAATTAACAGACTCCATTAAGTTTGACCATTAGTTTTGAAGATAAAGTGACTAAAAAGTAACGTTCAGAGAAAAATTCATAATAGCACCAAACATTAAGGGGTAAGGTGATAACAACCCTCAACTACTAGATTCATTAAGCAGTTATTCAAGTAGTTAGTCAAGACCATAATAAAACTTTTCATAAGCAATAGAGTCTATTATTGCCTACCACATTTAAGGTTCTTTGCCAATTAAATTTGTAAAAAAAAAGTCATTATGGAGGGAGATTTGCAATCAACAATAAATGGTTGAGAGGTATGAGCTGGTATTACGATGATATTATTTTTCACTTGCCATAGCACTAGGATTGTCAATAGTGCCAAATCAAACTGAGTTTGCTATATTTGTTCCACCCAAACTAAGGCTAAGCTTAATATGAGATCAAGCAGGGTTCAATTTGTGTTTTAAAACTCGGATCGGACTGGCCGGTTCGACTAATCGAATCGGGAACCGGCCAAGTATCCGGTCTGAGTTATGCTAAAAAATCGGCTAAGTAAAAATCTGGTCAAATCCTGTTAAAAACCGGGTTTGACCGGGAAAAATCAGATTTTCCAGTTCAATCACGCATTTAAAAAAAAAAACTCAAACTTTTTTAATATTATGTTTTGACCCCTAAATTGTTAAAAATTATTAATATACCTCAAATATTTCATACTTTATCAATGTTGTCTTAAAGTTTGGTGTTATTTTTCAATTAAACCCATAATTTTAATTCTAAACTTGTTAATGCTCATTCAATAATATAAATTGCTACTTGATTGTTCTAATTTTTTTGTATTTTCTTGTTAAATATGTTTGAAACATCAAATATATATGAATATAGTTTTATTAATATTAACATGATATTAGGTATTTTATATATAATATTTTAATTTTTAGATAATTTTTATTTATGATGTCATCCGGTTCAACCCCTATCGAACCCGATTGAACCCATTGACTCCTGATCCCTGAGCTTTACCGAGTCGATACCCGGTCCGGTTCTGAAAACTTAGGGTTCAATTTTTGGGCCTATTATTGACGCTCAATTTCAAAGTGAGTTGATCTTAGGCAATCCAAGCCCAGCCATATCAAGCTTGGCGGGTTAAGAAATCTAAAAGTTTTCAAAGTGAGCCAAGTTTAGGATATGAAAGGTTCAGCCATATCCAGTAGCAAATCAAGATTAAAGAAAACAAAACTACCAAAGTGTGAAGTTGAAGCATACTTCTTAAACACCGACTGAGTGAATTAAAAAAAAAAAAAAAAGAAGCCGGATATATATAGGAAACGGAGAAGGGGCACTTGGCAAAGAGAATAGGACCTAAGGTCTCAAATAGGCCAAAATCAATTTGTTGAATATCTCTTTCAGAACTAGGCCTTATTACCAGAGTTACATGCTGTGACATAAAATAGAGGAAAATATGTAGCAAATCAAATTCAAGAAAATTAATTGATCTGCCAACCTGGATGTGCCCTTTCAGTATCCATATCAAAGTTCCAAACTAAATTTTTTTTTTTCGTTTTTTCTTCCTTAAGGGACTCTAGTCTAGACTTTTGAATATTTGTTTTAAGCAGTCCAACAATAGATTTATAAATGAACACTTTAACCCCGAAAAAAAAAAAGAAAAAAAAGGAAAATTAGTCAAGTAATGAGTCTACTAATACATAAGTTATATTATGGTGATGCATGATGAACAAAAATTATTTATAAGAAATGATCTTTATTTTAATGACAAACACAAACAATATTATGATAACTAGTGTATTCGATAAAAGAATAAAAAGATATCTGATGAGAAGCTAATTAGTTCACTTGAAAATATCAAGATCAGGTTTAGAAAAGTGGTTCACTCGTTCTTTTCCTCTTTATAATTTTTGGGGCCCTGGAATTGAATGGAGTTTTGAATAATTTGAGTTTATTCCACATTTGAACGTTTTAACTTTCCAACAACATCAGACCCATTAATGTTTTCCAGAATAGTCTTTTTTTTTCTTGTAAGTCCCAATTGATGGTAACATGAAAATCAAGTTGAGTGAATCCAAAAAATTTAAAAGAGAAAAAATCTCTAGACCTAGATGTCGTCTTTCACAATTCACACGCTAAATGTCTAATTCACACCTAAATGTCTAATTGTGTATTTTAAAAGAATTTGTCCCATATTGAAAAATCAAAAAGACTTATAATCATTATATAATACTTAGTTTCTTAATTAAGTAACCTAAACAATTATCAATGAATACATATGATGGGTTCCTAAATCCGGGTTTTCTCGTTCCGTATCATAAAATATGTCAAAGTCATTGTCGGATAGGTGTGGATGGAAGTGTAGATATTGAGCAAGCTTCCATTGTCATTTACAACGTTTTGATACAGTATTAATTAGGGTATTGATGCAGGCATTAAATAGTGAAGTCGTTCTTTCTTCTATCAATTTCGGGGTCCAGCTGTAGGAGGTTATATGTAATTTATTCAACTTTTTCACTTTAGAAATGAAGTCCTTGTTCTAAATATATATGTTTTCCTAGGAACTGTCTTTTTCCTTTTGCCTCGTTCCCTCCTAAATTTCTAAGATTAAAAGATTAAGAAACTTTAAAATTCATAAAATTATTTCACTTGGATGGATACACCCTGGGCTTTTGTTTAACATTTTGAAAATTACATTACCAAGGTAATTATGTTTTAGACTTGTAGTGATAACTTGATAACAATTTTTAATGAAAAGATGAAGTTATAAACCTAATTCATTAATTTAATGACGATGTAAGTACAAAATCAATACCTTAAGAAGTTTGGTTTACTGGTTAGTGTTTTCCATGCATAGAAAAATCGTACTTTAATGAGTTATAAAGAGTTAGTGGTTTCCTTTGTATTGTTTATTGATTTCTTGCAATTCAAAATTATGTAAATATTATTATTATTGTCCCATGTTGGGCTTGAACCTGAAAACATATATAAAATAAAATCAATGTTGCTGAGTAAGATGAATCTCCAAAATTTTTTAGGTAGGAGTAATAGCACATAACTTCCCCGAATCTACTTTTTAGCCAATATTAGAGCAGGCATAACGACACTGTTATCCGAAAGAAAAGCTTGAAGTTTTGTAGTAGCACAAAATTTCTGTAATCTGCTGCTTAACAATCTCAAGTTTTTGAATCAATTTTAAGCCAAGATCAGAGTAA